TATCTCCCAACATAAATGCAGGGTACCCCCCAAAAATGTATACACACTTTAATAGCTGACAGCTCAATTTTGAAAATGAAATGTATTTTAATGAACACTGCCTTTATAATTAATCAATGTGTGTATACTTTTTTGGGACACCCTGTATGTGTGGAAAGCTAAAATAAGGTGCAAGGGGGACTGAATGTAGCACCAGGATGCAGCAGAGTTCTTTGCAAGATTGACGTCATACAGCAGATACTGTTGCCAAAGCAAAAGGCATTATGAAATATTTCAGACACAGGAAAAGGTATGGAATAACGAAGTATCTGTGCATGCACCCAGCACCCATTACATATACTAAAATAGAGTTTAAAAGGCTCAACGGAGCCTGTGCCTTCGAAGTGCTGCCTGGCTGTTAAAATTTAGTGGACAAAGCACAGCGCAGGGCTTAACACAATAAATGCTCATCTTCTGTTTCCGTCTTTGCAAACTGTGTAAACAAGCTCTCTGGCAGCAGGGTTTCCTGACAGAAAGATGTGTTTCCGGGCAAGTTTGGGGATGGTGAAATTGTGACAAGTGAATAAAACAATTAGCGCTGTTGTCCTTTCCAAATGAAGTCGTGTGTTCTGACGGGAGACTTATTTTCCCCTTTTGTAAATAAAGATTTCATCCAGAAAATGCTTTGGAAAGCTCCCAGGGATGATGCCATTATTCAAGTACTGCACTAAAGATTCTGAGGGTGGAAAATGAATGATAATTAGCTCTGTTGACTGTGGAGGTTTTTGTAATCTCTCTTTTCGTTCAAGCAGGGGGGGAATAGGGCCATGTGAACCTATAGAGAAATTAGCCAAATGTGTAAAATCAACTAAGTCTTCTTTCTATGGGCTCTTCTCTCAATTTCTCTGGAACTCTGGGTTAACAAGTTAAATAAAAAGAACATAAAGGAACATAATAATCATAGTTATTTTTGTTGACCAGCTTTCAGGTGAGAGTCATCAAACTAAGTAACAGGTATTCATTTGTTTAATCTTTATAATGACTCAGACGACAGGTACATTTCATATACTTTTTCCAGCTAAGGAAATCAATCGCTAGAGAAGTTGAGTAATGTATCCAGTGGGGGAATGGTAGCACAGGGGTTCAAATCCGTGTACCACTCAGAGTATATTGTCAAAGACTGGGGATCCCAGACATGTAGGGAGCAGTTGGCTAAGGTAGTGATTGGCAAACTGCGGCCCCTTGAGTGTGGCTCTTCCACAAAATACCACGTGTAGGCGCGCACGTACAGTGCGATTGAAACTTCGTGGCCACACTCAAGGGGCCAAAGAGCCGCATGTGGCTCGCAAGCCACAGTTTGCCGACCACTGGAAGAGATGGCTCATTTAGTCCAATCTCTTCCTTTTACAGGTGAGCGAAATAAGGCTAGAATGGGAAGGCACTTCTGTAAGGTGGCAGAGCAGAGGCTAGAATTCCTGATTCCCGAATCTCCATTCAGCCCGTGCATGTCCTCTTTTTCACGTGTCCGAAATGGAAAGGCCCTTCTTTGCCTCTAAAACAGTGGTTCTCAACCCTCCTAATGCCACGACCCTTTAATACAGTTCCTCATGTTGTGGTGACCCCCAACCATAAAATTATTTTTGTTGCTACTTCATAACTGTAATTTTGCTACTGTTATGAATCGTAATGTAAATATCTGATATGCAGGATGTCTTTTCATTGTTACAAATTGAACATAATTAAAAACAATATGTAATTATAGATGCGTTTTCCGATGGTCTTAGGCAACCCCTGTGAAAGGGTCGTTCGACCCCCAAAGGGGTCAAGACCCACAGGTTGAGAACCGCTGCTCTAAAACCTGTTTGTCCAACCATCTTCCAGATCACACGGCAGCACCACAGTCAGCACCAGCGTTCTCAAGGCTGGCTACACCGTCGGGTCATCTAGGAAGAGTAAAAGAATACCCAAGCCAGAGTGTCACTCAAGAGAGAGTGATACATTGTGTTCTGGAGGGGACCAGGAGTCCACACCACCAGCGCATGTGAATGTACCATAGGGTTCTCCAAATGTCCATGTACACAGCGGCCCTCTTCATTTCCAGCTCCTCGACCTCACATCTGAATCTTTCTCAAAAATAGCACCACAGCGGGTTGCTCCAGCCAGAAACCCAGCCTTTGTCCTTCATTCATCCCTTTTCCATCCATCTACATTCAATCCATGAGCGTGTGTCTTGTGTTGGGTGAGTGTTGGATAAGCGAGGAAATGGAGACATTTAGTGTGGGGTTCATTTGGAAGGGGAAATTTTTTAAAATTATATCCTAGTACATTGTGGGCACATGCCCTTTTAGGACTGCTTCTTCTGTCATTCCTACATGCCTTCGAGGCCCACAGCCCCGCTCTGCAAGGGTTGAACTTCAGGCTTCCTAAAGAGAGTGACACTCTGACACCATGAACAGGTGTGGGCCACTTCGGAGCGCTCACATTTCTCAGCGTTATTCTCCCCACCCATCTCTCCCTCCCGTTTCAGCCCTGGCCTGTATATACACACACACAGGTAATTTGCATGGCCCTGGAGATAATTCTCAGCTCTGGAAAGAGCTGATGGAGAAAGGTTCTTTAAAGCAATAATATCCAGCACGTTTTAGTCAAGCAAGCAATAAATGGCTGCCAGGCTTGATTAAACAGGCCAGTCAAGCAGAGGCTTCTCATCAGCCTCAAGTGCCGCATCTGGAAGGCACTGCTTCCCATCCACAGCCTCACTCCCTCCGAATGTGTGAACAGACCTCGCAGACCCGAGGCTGGGACCAGCACATCAAGAAGAGTCGATGGCAGCTAACAATTTAAAAGTCCGAAAGCCATCAAGGAGATTTTTTCTGGATGAAGATCATTCGGTCACATGGCAGGTCAAAGTTTGGGCTTTGTAATTTGGTGTAAGAAATAAAAATATACTCGAGATTTTATTTTGTCAATAAAAGCAAATATGAAAATTGTAAGTTTTCTAGCAGCCACATTCAAAATTTTGAGAACATGCGAGATTCGTTTTAATTATGTTTTATTTGTCCTCGTGCGTTTAAATGAGTGAGTTGTGTGGTGTATGAATCAGATCTCAATCAAGCTGTTAAAAACTACGGGAAACA